AGTGGTAGACCCGTCAAACCGCATTACCTTTGCCACGCCCTGTCTGTGATATCGATAGGTGTCAGTCATTTAAACTATGTCAGCAATGATAATAGCTGTTCTGGTATTGCACGTCATGGTGATGGCCCTTCGCAGTCCCAACATCCGTCAAAAATCCAGCCCAACACACATGTATTACCTCCCAGCGTGCACTGAACACACAACCATACACAGATTACACTCTACCTAACGCTCACATTCCCTGACAACCTCTGGACATGGCGCCAGATCTCTCTCGGTGGTTCGGATGTTCGTTCGTATATGCCGAAGATTCCCAACCGGCCAGCACTTGATCGTGGGAATGACGAGGCCGGCACGAGCTGGCCGTGGGTGGCAGCACCACCCGGAAGATGTGTCCCCGAGAAGTAGTGAGAGTGTCTACCCATGCATGGGAACGGGGCATACGCCACTCGGCCAACCAGTCTGTCCCTGGTCAGTGGAGAGCCGTCTCTGATTGAAGACGAAGAATGGCCTGACTATGGCGGGGCGTATGGCCCGCAGTAGGCAAAATAGCCGCCACTGGCCACGGGCAGGTCGGTGCGGAAGTGAAGATGTTCCCTGTCTTGCTTTGGTTAGTGCACTCCGCACCATGGCGGGGTTGGTGTGGCTGTCCACTGCCACTCCTGGGACTGACAGGGCATGACTCCTGGTCCACCTCTTGAGTTGAACTGAGGTGAAAAAAATTCGCCCAGCGCGCAGAACCCGAAAAAAGAAAAGAACCCCGTACAACAGGCTGCCCAGAGCAGGACAGTGTCGGATTCTGTGTGCCCTGGGCTGCCCCAGCATGGTTTGATGGCCTGTAGCAGAGATGGGGGTTAGGGGAGCCGAGGGCGCCGTGACGGAGTCTGGGTTGACGTTTGATGGCCTCTCATACGTATGCAGGCGGGGGAGCCCTGGTGTGAAGGGGTCTCCATGCCGGCCATGATGTGGAAGTAGCGTATCCGCTGACAAGTAGGCCCTTGACGTCGGTGGAATACGCCTTGCGGACGCCATGTGGGCCAAGAAGAGAACATAGGAGGTTTTCAGTCAACGGCGAGGATGGAGGCCTGCATCGGTGCGAGAAGCGTAGGATCGTCGCTGTCCAGATGATATTCCTGAGGGTAGATGGCGCTCGATAGGACTGTTAAAGGTAGACAGAAACAGTGCTCTCACAGTCGGAGAGAGCCAATCTGGTGACTGGAGTAGCAGCAGCTCCTGAGCGCGTGGATTGCAAGTGGCGACGGTGACGGGTTGGCCTGTGGTTGGCACTGAAAGAAAAACGGTCGCTTATCTCGTGCACAGCGCATCTGCCTGCAGTATTCTCTACCCTGCTAAGTGTCTAGCCGCAAGGCAAATGCTAATAATGAGCCATGGTAGAAGTGGGAGCAGGCACAGGTGCCCTCAGCAACGCATCCTTGGCTGAACCTGACGATAGCGCGGCAACCACTGCTGCGTTGTCTGGACGTACCCAGTTGCTGTAGTGGCTTGCCATTGGGGCCCCCACGTGCATTAGCACATGACCCACGGGCACTAGATTCAGTGGCAGCGATTGTGATTGACTTTCCCAGGACGAGGCCACCGTAGTGGAACCAGTGCCCTGGGCCGAAGGCACCCACAGCCCCATGACCCGGGCATCTGCTGTGATCTCTAGTGTGGGTCCAGGCCGGTGGAGCATCGACTTGCCATTTCCACGCGGTAGGAAGGGAGCCCCCCACCACTGGAGGTCTGCCGAAAGTACTGGGACGGGATAGTCTTATGGGGTGGTGCGCCTGTGGACTCTATTGGCCAAGCAAAATGGTCGCATGAAAAGACGGCCATTGCTGGACTAGTGTGCAGACTGAGGTGCCCTATCAGGGACTGCACGCTCCGGTTGGGTGGCGCCCGCTTGCTGCGACATGGAGGCCCAAACCCCCCGGATGTGAAAGCTTGTCCGGGGGTAGGCGGCTGAGCGTGCAATTGCCACAGAGCAATCTGAATGCCTAGAAGTTAGTGCGTCGTCGAAGGACCTTCCGTTTATGCGCCGCTACTGGACTCCAACCTCTGACACACACTTGCAGGTGCTGTCTGCAGCTGAGGCACCACCTATGGGTTGATGCGGCACCGAGGAGACAGATCGTCCAAGTAGTGCATGTTGCTGGCCGATGCCATTACTGCGCAGACCCAGCCAGTGCATCACGATGCTGAGAAGATCTTCGGTGCAGACGAGACCAATGGGAGCGCTGTATCTAAATAATGGCCGGGCCCCATCTTATTGCCAGGGAGCGGGGTGGTCGTCGGCATGGACTGGTAGAACCCTGTAGGCATTTTGCAGGTCCACCTCGCCATCATCGTGCCTGGCCTAGGTGTCTGATGCTCTGTCCGCGTCCAGCACTGATGCATATGCATATTGCCACTTGGGTGAGATGGCGTCATTGACACTATGACCTTTGGGGAGGCATAAATCCACTATGATCGCCACCTGCCTGGCTGATGCGGCTTAGGTTAGCCCATCGGACTGCAGTGGCACAGTGGGATGAGGTGCTCCGGATGGCCCATTAGCCGCCCCTTCTCTATCTCTCTGCAATTGGACATCGACTAGATCTGGGTGCTGACGCACCGACGGAAATTCCCGGGGCCTGGCCGATCGATAGCATGCCGATCTGCTCCGATATGAAGCGTGCCGCATACCGGACAGGATGTAGTGAGCACTGTTTATCCGGATGTGCTGCTAAGCCTGCTGCAGCGGCAACCGCGAGGGGTGTGCAGCCGAAAACACTGTGTTCCAGTGTGGGTGGCCGTTGCCTCAATCGTCCGGAGGTCAACATGTACATATACTGCCATTGCAGTATTTCCTATCTGACCCGCCTGGAAGTTAAAGGAGTGGGGGGATAACATAGGCTAATGGAGTGGATATACTAATGTCTGGCTTATATACGCCGTTATATATACATTGGAGGGGGTTCCCCCCTTTTAGATCAGTGTCTCAGCATAATATAGAGGTCCTTCTGCATCTAATGAGTCTATGGCCTGCATGGCCGCCCTCCTCCCTGCTCTCGGGAGGGCCTGGGAGTAGGAGCCGGAGGTCAGCTTATAATGTGATCCGCCGGAGTATCCTCACACTCTTGGCTCTATGCCCCCTGCGCTTGCAAGTGGCACAGATATGCCGGAAGGAGCAGGAGGGGAAAGAGCAGCAGGCCGCGATTCCAGGAGATGCAGATCCTCTCTGCTGTCTCTGGGCGTGATGTCCTGCGGATTGGCCCCGCCCTGCTGGGACTGAGTCCCGGATGTGGGAGCGCGTGGTTGGGAGAGAGGGCGGGGAGCCTGCAATCCCACCCAGAGCACAGTATGGATGCCATGGTCTGGCTCATGGTACAAACCACAGCACGACTGGGTCTCCGGAGCGGTAGTCATGATGGTAGAGGCGTGTAGGCTAGGGTTGAGCTCATTCCACTGCACCGACGGGTCCAGCGCAGCATGCTGGCGAAATATTTTGTCATATTCCTGCCACCCTGGGCCGCCGTGGCGCTGGGCCTCCCTCACCACCAGCCGCCCGTATGTGAGGAGGTTGCGTGTCTTGGCATCAGGTGTGAGCACTGCCGCGTATGCTAGGAAACAGGACACCCAGGTCTGCGGGGACTGGATGTCCCGCAGCCGTGGCTTCGCAAAGCCTGCATAGATGCTGTGTGGCCCTGGGAGCAGTGTCGCTGTCAGCGGGAGCGGGTTTGCCACGGAGAGGGTGGGTGGGCAAGCACCGGAGAGCGAAAAGGTGGGCACTGTAGAGAGGGCAGTAGGGCCGGGAATGACACCCAGGGCTGCGGGAGGGGAGGAGGGGGTTAATCGACACAGCGCACAGCCCGCGCGACACAGTACATAACCCCCTACTGGCATACACCGGTCCCTGTGCGGTGCTGGCTGTGGCGGTCTTGGGCTCCGGCCCGGGCCGTGCTGTGCCCTGACTGGGCAGTGCGTGCAGGGTGCCCTGCCATCGGCCGGTGCAGGATGCCCTGACCTGGGCAGTGCGGGAGTCCTGACCTCGGCAGTGCGGGAGCCTTGACCTGGCAGTGCTGATGCCCTGACCTGGGCGGTGCTACTCATGCACCCCCTGCGGGGAAGCCGGCCTGCATGGCATTGGGTGTCCTGCGCAGTTCCCAGGATGCCGCCAGCTGGGCGCACGCCCCGTGCCGCTGCTGAGCCAGCTGCGTGCCCCTTGGACCAGACCGGCCCTGGCTGAGCAACTTTTATTAACGGTGCTGGCAGGAGTTCGTGTGTGGGAGTACGAGTGAGAGTGTGAGGCAGAGTGCGTGTGTGTGTGCGTGCGTGCGTGCGTGCGTGCGTGCGTGCGTGTGTGGGCGGACATGTGAGTAAATATGCGGGCCCAGCCTCTGTCTTGCCTGATTGCTGGTGCCGACCCGGGAGGAGTGGCGGCCTTGACCAGGCTACCCTCCAGGCCGGTGCTACCCACGCAGGGTTGGGCCGACATGCGTGGGCAGATACGAGAGGGCCTTAGTGCTTCGTGACTTACCGCTGGACGGTCCTCCAGTAGTGGTGGCCGCGGCCGGGGGCGGCGGTGTGCCCGACTCCGACGGGAGCGTCACAGCTAGAGCTGCCCTGATCTCCTGTTGCACGATCAGCCGCAAGGAATCCAGTGAAGGTGAAATGGTCGTAGCCGGCGGTGCTGGCGATGTCCCGGACGAGGTAGGAGGATCCGTAGCTGGCGGGGGATCGCGGCCCGGAGATCCCATCAGATCGAATCGAGACAGGAGTGGCGATGTGATGGAGATAACTTTGCTGCCAAGTGTCTGTCGTTGCCAGTTGCCAGAACCGGGCCACGAGATTGAGCGCTGACTAAGCACCACAAGATTCTCTCAGGATCGTGCAGGAATGTAGAGCTATGGAGGGTAAGCTCTCCTGTCAGGGCTCTACCAATGCCATGCTCAGTGCCCAGTCAACTCTAAGAGAAACAAGTAAATTAAAAATCCTGCGAATTAAAAAAAGAGGCATATAGGGATGGTATAAAAAGAAAGGGAGACAATATAGGGATTGGATACATGAAGCATGGTTAATGAACAGATTTGAGTATGCTGACATCCCCAACCCCATCACACAATCCCTATATTGTTGCCTCATGGTGTGCTACTCTTATAGGGGCTAAAGGTTACTAAAAAGCAAGCATTCTTTCACCGTGTCCCTGTTGTTTTTAGTAACATTTATACTGCCACATTCCCTTTTAAACTCCACTTGGACTCTATAAGGGTGTTGGTTACTCAGTAGTGTATTGTAAGTTCTGAGTATTGAAATGCAGTTTAACATGATAGTGTTAAGCTAGGTTAATATTACGTGGCCACGTCACCGCCACGCATGCGCACAGTTGGTGAGCTTGAAAATATTTGGCTCCAAATGCTATTTGATAGAAGACTCAGTTTACGATCAAACATTCTTGCTGTTACTGAGGGCCACCTGAGAGCCAAATGAGTAGAAAGTGTAGAGTGATACTTCGACAGTTTCAATATGCGACGACCTATTTCCCCCTGAAATGATTCCAGCTGATGCAGCATCGAATCTGTCAGCATCCAGTTCTCACAGCCGAACAGCAGCACGGGAACCACACAGGCCTCATAGATGCTTCTCGCTGATAACGGATTCAACTGTCCATGAAATGCCCCCATAGCTCCAAAGGCAAAGAAAGCTCGTCTTGCTTTCTTGATGGCTTCATCAACAGCTTTGGTGGCAGAGAGGTCCCAGGACCACCAGTATCCCAGACACTTTGCGCTGAGACGAGGTGTGAGAGCCTCACCTCCAAGGACAGCTATAGGTGCGGATTCCACTGGTTTGGAAGGAGAAACAAGCACAACCTCGCATTTGGTGGGATTCAGAGTCAGTCCATTCTGTACTGTAAAAGTTTGCACAGTATCAATTTGCTCTTGTAAAGTAGCTCGAGAGCTACTGATAGTACGTATGTCATCAGCATGAATGAATGCACCCGCGTACGTATTGCCACTAGAAGGACCCAATGCCTTACTTTGTAGAGATTTCGGTAGGGGGTCCATAATCAGCAGGAAGAGAACTGGGGAGAGGACAGAGCCTTGGAGAACTCCACGCTCTAGAGTGAGCATGGAAGACAGAGAGCCGTCGACCCTCACCATGCTCTTTGGAGATGAATACCAGCTTCGCAGCAACCTCCAAGCCCTGCCGTCAATGCCAGCCTCATGGAGTAATGGACGGAGTCGAACACCTTTTGCAGGTCGTAGAAACACATGTACACTTTTTCACAGCGTTGTGAGTAAATGGATAGTACCTCCAACGTTGAGAATATAGCTTCTGCACAGGAGACACCTTTGCAGTAGGCTGTCTGATTGAGATGAGGTATACCTTTCTCTGAAAAATCACACTGCAGCCGTGTTAGTATGAGTGACTCCAAAACTTTGGCAAGCACTGATGTAAGCGTGACTCCTCGGTAACTGTGTGTATCGAGAGGATCCTTACCTCCTCCTTTATACAACGGTGTTATGATTCCAATTTTGAGGGAGTCAGGTACATGTTCCAGTTCCGTGATTGCATTACAAATTTGCAGAATCCAGTCTCGAAGAATTAAACCCCCACATTTTAGATGTTCTGCCTGCACCCCGTCGTGTCCGGCAGCCTTACCAAGTTTTAAAATTCTTCAAGACACTATTGACCTCCTCAGACACCAAAGGGACATCTAGCAGGGAGTCTTCATTATTGCAGGAGTCGTGCATCATCTTATTGATCTCTTGTTCTGAGGAGCACATGACCGAAGAGAGCTCTGTGTTGCCAGAACTAATTTCCCGAAAATGATCTTCCCATACTGCCAGGATTGTTTTTTGGGTCTGTAGCCACTTCTTGGTTAACACACAGTGATGGACTTTGATTTGTTTTTGTTGAAGGAATCCTAAACCGACTTGAAGACTTCTGTTTGAATTTATCATCAAAACATTGAATTCTCTTCCTTTCACGATTGGCAGCGTAGACTCTCATCCTCTTTCTCAATTCAGCTCTTTTTTTATTTTTGCATCATAGAGGGGGCCCTCCTTTGGGCTCAGGGTGCTTAACACCCCCCTAAGTTTCCAAGAGTTAATTATCCATTGTTATTGTTAATTATTTAACTGTCAACTGAATTCAGATATTACCAGCTAAGCAACTCTATAATACAGCAGCTGTGTCTCTTGATGAAGCTATAGAGCTAGAGCTACAAGCTAGATGCTGCGCTGAGCGCCTCGAGCTAGCTTAGCTCGAGTGCATGTACTACCGCGACCAGGCCACACCTACAATAGCAAACGTTCAGAGTTCAAAGGAACGCGCGTGCCGAAATGCAATGCGATAGATCTTTCTAGCTTAGCTATCAGCATGTCAATCCATCATCACCAAGAATTGATCCTGAAGACAAAGGAGATTCAGATATAGAAGTGCCTGCTCTGACTACCTCGGAAATGATGTCAGCAGCAGTGTAAGTCTAAGCACCCCCCTACCGTCAATCCTGGATCCACCCCTGACTTGTCCCAGGCTGCTTTCTTTGCAGAAGCAAGACGAGAAGAGTCTGATCTTTATACCATTTCTTTTCCTTCACTGAGCTCTTGCGCAGTGGAAGAGACTGTAGAGCAGCCGAGCAAATTTTCTCTGATATGTTAGTTATTTCGTCGTTTATCTCCTCAGCAGAGCTATACGATCGACCGATGAGAGGGGCCACAAAAGATGATACACTCTTCTGATAGCCACGCAGATGTGTGCCTTTGAGAGCCTTGGCCCAATGTATTCTATTTTTGGTCAACTGCTCCTGAGGGATGGCTGTAGAATGGGAAAACTGTAACGTAGCTGTGATTGGGAGGTTGTCTGAATTGTTCAGAGGAGCGGGGTCATGTGTGAAACACTGCAGCATGTCTTCTGTTGTATCGTGACTGACAAGTATGTATAGTCAACAGTGGTTTGTGACAAGCTATTCTGAAATGTATACTGAAGGCCTTGGGAGAGGGATGAGAGTGATACAGCGTAAAGATTGCAGCGAGTGATGAGCTGGTGGAGGAGTATCCCCTGTTGGTTAGGCTCGCCAATACCTCTCACACCACCTAGATGGGCGTTGAAATCACCCATGATTACCACCGGACCAGAGTGCTGATGTTCAGATACAACTCTTTCTAGTTCTTTAAGGTGCTCCGTGTAACGTTCTGTGCCCATATCTGAACAAGGCAGGTACACTCCAATAATGGTGATATCAGCTGCACTGGGGTGAGGTGACTTCACACGGAGACCACAAATGAGATCACTGGATATTGAAGAGATAGCCAGCCGTTGCATTGATTTCCTTTCTCCACATCGACCCAACTCCCCCGCAGCCTCTTCTGAGAGTTGCATTCTCTGTAAGCCTTTAATCGATCTTTATTTCAGCTGTAAAGGCCGGGTGGATGTTGCGTAGACGATCTTCCTCAAAGGGCCAGAGCCAGTGCTCACTTACTGCAATGATGTCACACCCACTTTCAGCCAGTTGGTGTATGTAGGGTTCCCCACTGCCAAGGCCTTGACAATTCCAGGTGGTAAGATTAAGAGTGGTAGGGGAGGGGTTCTCAGCCGAGGGTGGGTGACAGGGTGCTCCGTTCTCTTTTGGATTGGAGGAAGAACAGCTGGGGCATTATTAGGTCTCCATAATCTGACAATGTCCAGGCGTGTATCAGTTGATGACAATGCAGAGTGAAGGTGGTGTTTTTGAATTCTTACTCGTAGTGATACCTTACGAAAAATGGAGTAGCAAACAATTGGACAATGCAGTATCGCATTTAGAATTGATTCGTGCACATCATCTGTCTCAAAATTCTTCAATCTCACAATAATAAGACAGGTCTTATACGCGCCTCTCTCTCACCATTTCATTCTCACACGCACTTAGCTACCGGGATTTTCCCGATTTTTTAGCTTCTCCTATATGGCTCTTTGCCTGCAGTCCCTCAACACAGTCTTTATAATTATTCTCATTACCACTTTCTTTACATCGTCCTTGTAATAACTGTGTTGTAAAGCATAATATAATAATAATAATAATATACCGGCTACCGTTTGAGCTTTGGATTCTCCCTCTTTTTTTACCGCCGTGCGCGCCCCTCCCTCTCTTGCGCTGCGCCGCCACATTGCATGCAAAGTTACAAAATCGACTGCAAATGTTAACTTCACCCGTCAACCGAACTTCTACAACTACCTGAATCAGCAACGTATAATTCACTTTCAAATAAGTCCTAGCTAACTGTATAGGTGTCATGTGTTTGCTGTTGATTAAATTCTCCCCTTTTTTAGTTGCATGGGACCCTGCGTTGAATTCACAGCTCAGGATATATTTCCCAGTGGCAGATGTACCGCGCCTCCTCGAAAGAAGCATGCCTCCCAGTCACAGATGCATAAGCTTATAGCTACTATGTGTGAGCATTATGCAGTTGCTTTGCTAGATGCATTATGGCCAGCGGAAGCGACCCAACTGCAGATAGGTGAGATGCCAGGGAAGGTTATCTGTCCACAGCTGCTGGAGGCGTCCCTAGCTCTCATGTATGCGATGCCGGAGAGAAGGGTGTGTTTTCCAGTGCTCAGCTGCTAGACGCTGCCTCCTGCGAAATCTGTCTCGTGTGTTTTCTGGCCTGTTTCTCGAGTGAGAGGCTGCTGAGGTGAGATGACGATACGGCACACTTATAGAATGGCGGGGTGACATTGTATTACGGTGCATCACCTGATTAACGAAAATCGGCCTATTACAACGACGAAGTTTGCTCTCTCCTGCTCCCCAAGAAGTAAAGTATAATTTGTCAAATAGCTAACTACATGTCAGATTTTGGCAGATATTTTAATAAAATTACACTAATTCATTCCTCATTGAATCAGTCCCTCAGTGATGCATTTATTAGACTTTAAAGCTGAACTAATACTCGAGCTTCTGCCATATTATGATAGGTAAAGATCAGTATTATTCTCCAGTGAAAAGACTATTATGCTTGTCTTGTGCCACATAGCTAATACAATAACCAGTATTAACTTGTTCTACGATCACCACACCCATCTGCATCCTCAACTAATGGGCTGTTCATAAGCACGAAACCCAGATGATGGCAATTGTGTGCTTCGTGTTTACTAACAGCTACGTGCTCTCTTAGTTTTTTCAGGTTTTGGTCATCCAATTGTGGCAGGAAGATAATTATTACATAAACCCTGAACATAGTATATATTTTGCCTTTATGGAGTTCACCTTCACTCACTGCTGGTCAAGAAAAGTACGCTGCGATGAAAGTCAGCCCACAATACAAATTATGTTATTATTTTTTCCGTTGCAGTATAGGTGCACTCGCTCTGCTGCAACTCGAACAACAACTTCATGTTATATATACACAGATGTCATACACAAGTGCCTGTGGTTTTCTTTGGTTGAGCAGATGTAATCACTGAGGTAAACTACAAAACAACTCACCAAACAACACAATTATTATGGTAAATGTTCATGAAGGCGCACATCTGTGCATGAAGTTCCTATTGTAAAAATAATACCTAGCAGTGTCGTGTCCGTCACTGTTAGCTATATAATATAATTATGCAATTCTCTTTTGTAATCCTCGTCAGGCACAACTCAGACCTTCGATATCGAAGAATATATGTGTATCAGAAATTGGTTGTTGTGATGGTTACCACATGGATGGAGAAGAATGTTTACGTACGTTTCTGCAGTCACACGCCCTATTCTCAATTCCCTACACTAATACAATATCATTTCCAGCAACATAATATGTCCCAACTGCCCTGAATCCCACTTATGTCTAGCATCGTATTTCTGTGCATGTCCAGAGAACTGGTCTGGTGAAGGATGCACAGGTTTTCAGACACTCAACCTTGTATATAGCCATATTATAATAGAAGAGGAAAATCCTTCAATTTAGACCCACTCAGGAATGTTCGCCTGACAGCAACTGGGTCTGATACACTGCGGTTCAGTTGGTCACCACTGTCCCAGGCAACACTCTATGTTGTCATTTTTCAAGGCAGGACTTATGATGTTGATCCTTCAAGTAGTCTGGTCATGGAACTTAGCTTGCTAACTACATTACCTCGTACATTTGTTGTGTGGCTGCCAACACCACCTCTGGACCATGACTGCCATGCAAACAACCCTGGAAAGAGGTACGTGTGAGCAAAAACAAACACTCCCGCACACACTCCGGGAAAGCCTTTTTTGGCATGGTTCTGTGAAAAAAATCACTCTGTATCTTGTCGTAAACAGCCACTCACATTACTTTTCTATTGTAGCTATAGCATTAAATAAAACTTCCGGTACTGCTGATGCACGAAAAAGTAGTACCTAGAATTGACATTATGCAGTATATGTAAATGGCGCCCAAAGGGTTAACCCTTTGGGCGCTATAGGTGTCTCCTTAAATAAGCATATATTGATGTATAACATATTAGCGGCTAGTATTATAGCCATAATATAAATTCTTATGCACTTATGGAGGCTCTGTGCATATATATATATGTAAATTGAGCCCAAAAGGTTAACTGAGCTAGCAGTAACGGCAAAGGGTGAAGAACTTATACTTGCAAAGAGTGAAACAGAAGCTGTAACCACTGTAGCAACATTTATTATCGAACCAACCCCCAGCATCAGCAGCACCGAGTCAGAAAGCAATGTTACCGAGTCAGAAGAGCAAAAGTCCTCTGCAGAGCTTTCTCCAGTTCCCATCATTGGAGTTTCAGCAGCTGGAAGTCTCCTCCTTCTACTACTAGTTGCTGTGGTCAATGCAACTGTGGCAGTGTACTGCAAACGCAGGTAATGAAGTAAGTGTAGTTTGTGCGACCTGATGTAGTTTGCTGTTAGAAAGACAACCTTGCCGGGAAAAAAACAATCGATATTCCTCCACAGCTTCATCATCTGCCGTCAAAAAGCTGAATGCCTTCCCAAGCCTCCCAATTAGAGAGGTGTCATCTGAATATGAAATACCAACCACTGAGATGGAAAATGTATACGAGGAGCCTGACGCAACAGTGGGGTCTACTGCTGTGGGTGGGTTGTGCTATGAAATAATGGGTCATGGAGCTGGTGTGCCTAAGATGGCAGTAGATGGAGGGGTTTAATCCACGGAAGAACATGACACAGACACTGAGATACAGAATGATCATACAGAGTAACAACTCGTTTAGATTTTGCCATAGTCATTAAACATAATGTGATGTATGTATAAAGTGCACCAATAGTGTGAATATGTGATGTATATTATCGTGAGATACGTAATCGACTGTAGCTTATTTTGATCTCTTGAGGGACAGAAAAACGATCGCTTGGTGTCCGTGCACACCTCCAGCGAATCTGGAGACGTTTATTAAAAAAATCAGCGCTTCAACTATTTTCGGTAAGGAGATAGCTATGTAGCAGGTTTACTGAAGAAGAAACCGGAAGATGAAGTATATGATGTTAATGTGATGATGACGACACGAAAATCCAGAAATGGAGAATTAGACCTTCTCCCGCGCGCGGATTTAGCTCCGTGAGGCTATGTGGGTCACTGCACAATAAAGATGCAAAAAGCTACATGACGCAATCCCTATATCTTTGTTTCATAAGCAAAGTTTATTATGAAACTGAGATAATTATACGGATGGTGTCACGACCCTTCCTTTTTGGTGCTTCAAACCATCCCTTATCCTCCTTCATTTTGAAGAGACACTTTTCCACTCATGTACATTAGGTTTTTACTAGCATTATTTTTCGTTATTCTTGCCACTGCCTGTCTCTTTCAATCTTCATGTTGGCTAACTAACAGAAAACAATCAGCATCAAGAAGACAACAATTAAACCCTTATGTTTCGGCTAGGGAAGCATTTTGGTTTCACTGTGACAAGCTATTGCCACATTAAAATAGTGACTTAATAATTTTACAATTATAAAAATAACTATTATTATTATCATTGGTAGTTTTTAAAGCTAGCTAGTCGAGACTTGGTGCTGGCAGTGCTGGCTCTAATCATAGAGAGGTAGATGCAATGTACATACACTTTTAAACAACAATATGGGGCCTTTACAAGTCTTTATTGGCAAGCGGAAGCAAGCTAACTAAGCGGTCCCATTTTTCCTGATTTTTCTACGTCGGACCGACCATTCAATGTGCATGCGCGGCTATGTCAAAAAATAACATGTTTTTTTTTGCTGTCGACGTCAAAGAGCAACCTGCTGATCTGTTGGTTGATGGATCATTCAAGTACTCTTTGCTATAGATGAGAAATGGATGCAGAACGTCGTGCCTGTGAGACTTATGTGCAGGGAGAAGCTTGCGTTCTCAATGCTTTTGTGGTATGGGAAACGCCTCGCCGCCAAACCAACAGAGGAAAGGGAAAGATGACTAGTAATGCGTCGTTCAAGAGCGACGGGCTTCTGAAAGAGTGGAAACACCTCGTGGCCTACCTCGCTTTCGCTGGCCAATAATGCACCTACAAGTAATGCTCTATGACCACGCTCTCGGTCTGTCAGGACCAGCTTAGCTACAAAATGAGGGCAAGTGTGGTTAGTCTATATGTGCTCACCAAGTTTGAAACTCCCATATGTCCCGAAATTCTCCAGTCCTACGACACCGTACAGTGGAAGGTCCAGGGGAAGATTCTGCCATGGTGTCCCCACGTCTTTCCCGTTTGCAAACACATGCAGCTCTCCATTGGGATACACTGCCATACCCAATGAGTGGTTATTTCCTACGTCATTCTGGATATCGTATTCGACAGCTTTCTGGTTGCCTCCATTCCACACATGTCCAGAGAACCACTCCCAGTAGTGAGGGTCGTAGATTGCATTTGTGAGCCACTTATACAATGGTGCTTTGTCGGGTGTAAGAGTTGTCAGCCCGAATCTCTGCATACATACAAACCTCAGCTTAGCATTGGATGTTGTGTATGCAGCAAATTAATGGCAGTGTATCGTTTTGTGTTTCGGCTATTAAATAGAGTTGATTTTGCTAGCATTTGTTGTTGGACAGGCTTATCAAACACTCCAAGCATCATAACATTATAGTCAGCTACTCACGATTATTCCTGGGTTGAGGCACTTGAGTTGGAACAGTCTCCCAACTGGTACTGGCAGGGCAGTGTAAGCCATAGCATCATCCACACGTGTGGCAGTCGCAACAGTGGCATTCTCAGAGAGGGTCACACCACCACCATGTCGAGGAGAAAAGCAGTTGTAGTCAGCTACTACATAGCTCATAGGCTCTGTATGAGAGAGAGAGAGAGGGCAAACTCTTATAATTATTATACTTCTGTGCACAAGGAAGTTTTGTATGTTATATTTTTCCAGCTTAATCTGTCTGTTACGAAAAAAGGCCTCTTACTTTGTATTTTATTGTAGCTACTTCTGGTGAATGTGCTAAGCATGAGTATCTTGCTACACTTCTAGAGTAGAGTAACATCTAGTTTCCCTTACCAAGTTTGAAACTTCCATATTTCCCAAAGTTCTCCAGTCCTACGACACCGTACAGTGGAAGGTCCAGGGGAAGATTCTGCCACGGTGTCCCCACGTCTTTCCCGTTTGCAAACACATGCAGCTCTCCATTGGGATACACTGCCATACCCAATGAGTGGTTATTTCCTACGTCATTCTGGATATCGTATTCGACAGCTTTCTGGTTCCCTCCGTTCCACACATGTCCAGAGAACCACTCCCAGTAGTGAGGGTCGTAGATTGCATTTGTGAGCCACTTATACAATGGTGCTTTGTCGGGTGTAAGAGTTGTCAGCCCGAATCTCTGCATACATACAAACCTCAGCTTAGCATTGGGATGTTGTGCATGTAGCAAATTAATGGCAGCAAATTAATGGCGGTGTATATATTTTTTATTTCGGCTATTAAATAGAGTTGATTTTGCTAGCATTTGTTGTTGGACAGGCTTATCAAACACTCCAAGCATCATAACATTATAGTCAGCTACTCACGATTATTCCTGGGTTGAGGCACTTGAGTTGGAACAGTCTCCCAACTGGTACTGGCAGGGCAGTGTAAGCCATAGCATCATCCACACGTGTGGCAGTCGCAACAGTGGCATTCTCAGAGAGGGTCACACCACCACCATGTCGAGGAGAAAAGCAGTTGTAGTCAGCTACTACATAGCTCATAGGCTCTGTATGAGAGAGAGAGAGAGCAAACTCTTATAATTATACAAGTGGAAAAATCATTTCTTCAAAATGAAAGGGGGATATAGGGATGGCTTGAAGCAGCAAAAAGGAAGAAACAAGGGGTCATCACACAGCAAAGTTTCACAAAGCTACATGACACCATCCCTATATCTTTGTTCGATATTAAACTTTGCTTATAAACAATAAAACAACGATATAGGGATGGTGTCATGTAGCTTTGTGAAACTTTGCTGTGTGATGACCCCTTGTTTCTTCCTTTTTGGTGCTTCAAGCCATCCCTATATCCCCCTTTCATTTTGAAGAAATGATTTTTCCACTTGTTTCCACTATTTTTAACAGCTTATGACAACACTGCATTTATTGTTACAGTCACTCTGATGTTCATGGGTATGTTGTAGATAGGCTTGTAACTGTTGAAAGTAGCAGCTAATGGGGCTGCCTGAAGCAGGGGCTAGATACCGCATTCACCTCATGTATTGTCTTCAACAAGGATGTAATTAGATTATTGCACATGGTTGTGGTTTCATGGGCAGGCTTTGGTAATCAGGCTACAACCTGGGGGTGGGGGACAAACAATGAAGGCCCATTTTACCCAGCAAGGCTGCGTAACACCGCGCAGACTCTGGCAAGTGGCTCTTCGTGCAAATCAACAGCAAGATAGCCAGTTGGAAATGTGCACACTTACTTACAGAAGGTACTGGAGGCTGAGAGTTCCTCTGCAGGTCTGCCAACTCGCCTGGTAATACGCTCGCTAGCGCATGTGGACAACGCCCCTGCCTGGCGCATGCGCGCGGCTCACTGATGCTGAGTTAGCAGCAAATGGCGTTGTTCAGTGTCGACCTTGGAAGAGCTCCATGATCTACCGTAGTGACTAGCGGCGAGAAAGAAACGATCGCTTGATGTCCGTGCACACCTCGGGCGAAATTGGAGACGTTCAGTGAAAAAATTAGCGCTTCAACTTGTTCCAGTAAGGAGAAAGCGGGTCTAAAGAAGAAGAAGAAGAAGAAGAAGAATATGATGACACCAAAATCGTGAAATCGCGTATGAGCGAATTCTCGCGTGGACGACTGAAGGTGCGTATGAGGTCTTTGGGGACATGTATAGGTAGATATGGGCCCGTAGACTATTGCTAGTGTGTTTTGAAGGCCTAGGGAGTGATTTTCACCGAGTTTTTAGTCGTTTTGTACGCGGATCACGTGAGATTTCACCCGTGTCATCCCTATATAGAGAGTCTACCGACTCTCTAATACTTCTGTGCACAAGGAAGTTTTGTATGTTATTTTTTTCCAGCTTAATCTGTGTGTTACGAAAAAAGGCCTCTTACTTTGTATTTTATTGTAGCTACTTGTGGTGAATGTGCTAAGCATGAGTATCTTGCTATACTTCTAGAGTAGAGTAACATCTAGTTTCCCTTACCAAGTTTGAAACTTCCATATTTCCCAAAGTTCTCCAGTCCTACGACACCGTACAGTGGAAGGTCCAGGGGAAGATTCTGCCACGGTGTCCCCACGTCTTTCCCGTTTGCAAACACATGCAGCTCTCCATTGGGATACACTGCCATACCCAATGAGTGGTTATTTCCTACGTCATTCTGGATATCGTATTCGACAGCTTTCTGGTTCCCTCCGTTCCACACATGTCCAGAGAACCACTCCCAGTAGTGAGGGTCGTAGATTGCATTTGTGAGCCACTTATACAATGGTGCTTTGTCGGGTGTAAGAGTTGTCAGCCCGAATCTCTGTGTAATAACAATATCAACATACAAACCTCGGCCTAGGATTACGTAACAGTTCATGCAGCAAATGGCAGTGCATGTTTCAGCACAACATGCCAGCTAAGAGAACTGGGCTGTAATATTATGCAGACAGCTACAATACATTAATTGCGCAATACTTACCCATTGCATGAAAGATAGACACACTGACTACAATAGTTTATATATACTCACGATTATTCCAGGTTTTAGGCACTTGAGTTGGAACACTCTCCCAACTGGTAATGGCAGGGCAGTGTAAGCCATAGCATCATCCACACGTGTGGCAGTCACAACAGTGGCATTCTCAGAGAGGGTTACACCACCACCATGTCGAGATGAAAAATGATTTTTTGTTGTTTCTGAGGAGACGAAGGAAATTTCTTTAACACTGAACAATGCAAAACATCAAAGCACAGTGACCGTTCTCTCAACCTGACATCTTTAGCTAGATATTATGATCATAAAATGCAATAATAATTATATTTGTTTTCTTACCTATCTTAATATCTTTTGTGAGCGGGAAACCAATGATCCACTTTTGAGAGACTGTACTGAGGAGTTCAAATTTGTACTTGATTCCCGGGGTCACCTCAACACCCACTGAAGATGAACCGTTCGGAGGAGTTAACACTTTTTTCTTTATCTCCTTGTCTCCAGAAACAAACACAGCCACCTCCACATCATCTTTTTTATATTTGCTCCCCATGTCCCATTGCAAGACTATATTAGTGCTACCCTCGGAGGATTCTATTTTTAGGTCGGAAATGATGTCATCGACTTCCCATTCATCACCAGTTGGTAGTCTTGCAGGTGAGCTAGGTAGAACAGGTGTGTGGGTATCAGTGCTGTGTGCAATAACTGCAAAGCTATAGTGCTTTGAGACTGACACATGAGGTATGATAGTGTATTCGTACTTGTTCTCTCTTATATTGTTGATCTGATCCACTATGATTGACGGCATTTGCAAGAGTTGAAGAGAGTATGCATTACATTCCTTTACAGAGGTCCAATTGACTGATACACTTCCAGTTTTTAACTGGAATGAGGACGAAACCGTTTCAGGAGAATCCATTTTCTTTATTGGTTGGGACACATACAATCCAGGCATGCTGTTTAAGAAGTATGCATTCTCGTGTGCAATAGCGATGGCTTTGACTGTAAGCTTTGTGCCAGGTTTGAGGGAACTTGAACCCTCAATAGGGAGCACTATGTTCAGAGATTTGGCCTCAACGTAAGGTTTCTCTCCAGGCGAGAGTTTTCTTCGTTTATCATGTTTTCTGACCAATTCGACATAAAAGCATCGACTGTTTGGAATGACGGAATACGTGAGGGTCATTTCCGTTACATCACTCCCATATCTCACTTTGACTATGGTAGGTGATGCAAGACGCTCAAATTTTTTTGATGACTTGGCCCATTTACTACTGAAAGAACCTGATTCTCCCCTTGTCTGTGCTACACATTGAAACTTGTCACCTCCTTTTCCCCCAATATCTTCCCCTCTAAATGCAGTGGATATATGTTTCGATCCCTCAACTTGAGCTGATACTGTTATTTTTTTGTCTCGTGTGTCCATGACAGCTAGGGTGTAGCTGGACACATCATCCACTGCCTCACAAGTCACAGTGAGTGTGTCGTTCTGGTACTCTGGTCTATAGGTAGAGGTGACATCGGTGGGTGCTTCCTGCATCACCCAGTGCTCCCCAGCTTGTTTTGGCACCGAGCCTATGTCATATGTTTCGCCAAATGCTCGAACCTCAAGTGAATATCTACCGTCAGTCGAGAGCTTGTCTCTAAACTCAGAGACAGATTTCGAAAACTTCAAATCTGGGACTTTTGAGTTTGTTTTGTCTTCCATACCTGTATGGTTTGGTGCTGGTAAACTAAATGAGGCAACAATGACAGTTTCAGCAGAAGGCTTAGTTTTGGGTTGCATTAGCACGTAAAACTTGTACAATTTGGCTCCCAAGACCATAGAACATGTAATCGATATATCGTCAGTGTCCTGATTGTACGTTGCCGACATAGTCTTGACCTCCTCTAGATAATGGACCACGTCAGGTAATGTAGTTGGTGTGACGCTAAATAGAAGACTGGAATCATTTCCCAGAGAATATATTCCTACAGAATAATCGTGACCTTGTTGGAGTTTGTTCATGTCAGAAGGCAGCAGTTTGTAGCCGGTTATATATCGCCCGGTAGTTTTGTGCGCCTCATGAGTAGTGTTAAACTCGCGAGAAACTGCGACCACTTTGGAAGCTTTGTCAACAAGCTGGACCTGATATCTGTCTACGTCGCTCACTGGGAGCCAGGAAATGCTCAGAACACCACTTGATTTGTTCTCCGTGTAAGCGACAGCGAGCTTAGTTGGTGGAGACAGTATTTCAAAGCTTGTTGAATCAGCTCTGTATGCACTATTGGCGACATCACTTTTGGAAGAGACGTATGCAGCCTGACATTGAAGCTCGGCATTGGGAACTGTTACTTTCGCTGCAAGTTCTTCGACGTCGAATGATACTTTGTCGGGTAGTGGCTTGTCAAATGACTTTGTGAGTACTACATTCCCTGACAAATCTATGACCTCACAGATGAGTGTCTCAACCTTAGTTGCACCATCTGAAGGAGGGCTCCAACCGACGTCTACAGTTTTATTTGTGGAACTGAACACTGGAAGAGTGTGTGTCACGTTCCCCAGTAAAGGAGCCTGACTAACAGCTGGTGATTTAGTGAAGGAGCTACTCTGAAGGCCATCCCTCAAGCTTTGTGATTGAACCATGAAATTTTTACCAGAAAACTTCATGTAATCCTTTGGGGGGAAAGTGTATTGTATATCTCCTACAGAACCAGGCTGGACCGGTGTTGTCTGATGAGTAATGACTGGGCTCTTTCCATCAAGAGCAACGCCGACCAGTTCGATTTTAACTGCCTTTGAATCTTTTGAGATTCCTTTCACACTTCCTGTGAGTGCACGGCCAGGTCCCACTGTAAGGGACACAGTTTTTGGTGGAGGTAGAGTAGCAGTGTTGGAGAAAATATGACTGATAGGTGACTTCCCCGTGAAAGTGACTTGTTGGTGTTGCTTGTTTGTAACGGTACAAGAGGCTACAATGGATACCGTGACTTTTGAGGCCGTGTAGAAACTATCATTTTTAAGCTGCCAAGTGGAGTTAGTTGTGTTGTGGGTAAAATGGCTGACTGGGTCAACTGGACTCTCAATAGTACCATTTATAGCATACTCCGCGCTTGGCACTGTTGAAGGGAGTGGATTCCATGATATATCGAGCACGTTATCGGATATTTCACCTCTTATAGGAGACTCTAAATCCAACTCTTTTTCAATGTCATTTCGTGCACTTTCAGCTTTCTTGTTAGCATCATCACGTTCCTTTTTGTATTTGTCCGAGTCAGACCCTCCCCCAAGCAACGTGGATATTGCATGGAGCACTGACAGAAGTCCTCCAACTATGCCACCAATGGTCGCCGCAGCTCCCTCAACATCAGCAGCAGCCGCAGCCCACGCTCCAAATCCAGCATCAGATGCCGAAGAAACTGCAAGTTTATCAAGTTCGTTTGTAGCACTAGACATCTCTGCTTCCCCTTCCTCTAACTCTGTCTTACTCTGAGTCGCTTCTTCTTCCAGTGGCGCCTTTATTTCAGATTTTTCAACACCTCGGCACACGAACGAGTCGATTGCTTCGACCAAGGCCTGCTTGGCCATCTCCTTCAAAGCCATGGCTCCAATCAGCTTTGCCAGGCGGTCTGGCTGATCCACTAGCTGTTTTACCATTGAGCCAGCGTTATCTCTCACTGTTTTCAGAACGTAAGTTGCCACACCGGCCATACTTAGATCCTGGACCTTAGGTAGGTGTACTACTATGTCAGGGAGATCAACACTTACGATACTGACATCTGAGGCAATGCTGATGTTGTAAGTCCCTTGTAGTTGGAATGCAAACATATCGTTGCTTTTCCACTTGGTTTTGTCAGCGGTGCTCATGCTAATATCAAAATTAGACGTAAGAGTCTTGTTAATCACCAGTCCAGCTATGGCAGAACATCCTTTGTTGGATGGTTCGGCTAAATATTTCTCGATTTCACTAATAAACTCATCATCAAGTCCAGGCAATGATGGGTTTTGCAAAGACCAGCTTGTGATTCGAAAACCTCCCTCCTTACTCCACGTGAAACTGACAGATGGACTTTTGACCCCAAGAAACTCCTTTGGGTAAGTGACAGTAAATAGAAACTGGGAATTTTTGGGATTATAATCGATGGTCGTTTTGGCAACCGTGACATCCAAGAATGTTATACCAGCCTCGAGAGAAAGTGTGGTTAAATCGTGTGTATAAGAGTAAGAGAGAGATGGTCCAACGTCCAGAAAATTTCCGCCACTGTCAGTATCCCCAGTTGAAACTTTGAATAGGCCAAAGTCAAGAGCTTTAGGAGTGTTTCCAGAGATAGAGAAACCAGTTTTATCCAACGGAATAGACATTTCAATATTAAACTGGAAATCTTTGGTGAATATGAATGTCTCGCAAGACATATGGTACCCGCTCTTGTACTGGAAACTATCACTTGGACCTTGTACCTTTTCGTGTTGGTCAAGGTTAGCATAGTAGAGCCTACCGCTGTAGAAGCCAATATTTAGGAAAGTCATATCCCAGCTTGCATTAAAGACCGTGGCAACGAAATCTGCAACAGATAATGGTGTTGTTGATGCTTCCAAAGAGATGTCGACTACTTTAGGGGTGCCATCTATAAAGATGCATTTAGCTGTTAGCGTTACTGATGGTTTTTGAGGTTCTGGCGAAGCATGCTTTTTATCAGGGGTTTCACTGGGAGGTGGATAAAAGTCGACACTTCCTGATAACTCATACTTGTTGCTGAATGGTTCAAACTCATAGTGGAGCTGTAAGACTGGACTTTGTATGGATATCCCAAACATGCCAAGTGGCCGCTGAAGAACTGTGGGCTGTTGGCTTCCAGTCAGTGAAAAATCTGCTACCTTGTCTCCAGCCTCTAAACACCCATGAAACTTTGAATTAGGAGAAAGCGAAGGGATAGATATATCGCCAGTCAAATTTACTGTGGTTTTGGGCAGAAATTTGTACTGAAACTCGATATCTGTAAAATTCAAGAGCCCGAAAAGTGTCAGAGAAGATATGTATGCCAGGAAGAGTGAATCTGTTGAATCTTTGGTGACATGTGCATACAGTATAAGGTCACCAGGCATTTCTTTACTCTGCTGTATGGAGACAAGGTTAGAAAGTAAGACTGAATCTGTATTGAAATCAAGCACTGCGTATAATGATGTGCCGTGTACTATAGCTTTC